AACTCTGGAAGGGCAAATTTAAGTTGCTAAATTGGATACTCGAAGTAATAGAATATATTTTCTGAAATGCTACATTTTCCATGTGCCAAATCAACTAAGTACAAGTTAAAGGAATTCAATGAATCAATATCTGAATGAAGGATTTAAATCTCACCTCTCTCTAACAGTTCAAGGCTTTTTATATGAAGTTTCCCCTAATTTCATCCTCACAACAGTAACCTGATAAAATAGATTGGGCTGAGATTGAGTGACTGATCCAAAATCACCAGTGAGCTCTATGGTCAAGTGCAGATTAAATATTAATATCTGCTGATCAAGTCCCAAACCTAAGAAAAGCAATTGCTGTACAATATTTCTGAATTTACCAAATTGGATAGAACTTGACAATGAAAGTATATTAAGAAGGAAACTTTCACAGGACTGCTGAAGAAATTGATTACAAGTCCTCTGAAGGGAAATAAAGATACTATGGTTGTACAATTTGTTGTAAAGAGGTGCTTTGGGAATGTACTCAAAGCATCTCTCTTTGAAGTGTTGAAGCAGTCACATCATTTATTAGGCTCATGTGGCTGCTTCACAAACTTTTCAACAATAATGGCTTGCATGAGTCATGAAGTCCAGATCATGGCACTCTAAGCAATCGTATCCCTAACAGACATGTGCAACAGGTAATCAAGAGTTCAGCTGGGATTTTCCCCCTTTAATTAGTCTATAAAAAGTATTTGAAAAGTCCCTGCAGGACAAAACTGTGAAGAATTCAACATTAGTGAAAAATTATTCACCCTCCCAAAATAAGCTTGATAATTAGCTTTAACCTGTTTTTGTCCAATTCAGTCCTGTTCATCTGCATTCTACATCTTTGTTTCGTTTCCCTCACCAATGATTGCATTTTACATATTTAAAGTATTATCTTGTTTCTGCATGTAATTCTGAAACCTCACCCAAAGGTTAGTGGGTGTATCTTTTAAATAAGTAAGCAAAAAGAGCAGCATATGACTCTGGGCCAAGAAAATAACTCGAGAAAATGTCTCAAGCTGCTCCTACCTTCAGACAATAAAGTTAGGTGCTGGCAAAAACACATTCAGACTTGCAAGATTCTATTATTATAGTAGTCACAGTAAAAATAGTGTTGACCTATACGGCATTGGTTCCTAAGTCTGCTTTACGTTGCAGGCCAATAGCTACCTTGTTATCTCCAGGTCAGTGTGTCCGTCCCCACATCTTATCTAGGCCTTGTATGAGAAATTTTCCCAAATTATTTTCTTGGTCTGGGTTCAAGCCCACTTATCTGACTGTTTCCTTGATAGTGGCTCTTCCTTCTGTCCTTCAAGTCCTCTATGTTTGATTGCTTTCTACAACAGCGAATCAGAAGTTATAAATTTCCTATTCCAATAAGAACTGACAGTGTTGGAGAATGCATTGATCAAGTACAATAGTTTGACTTATTATTAAGTATTTCTCTGGGTATCAGAAGACAGGCCCAATGTTCCCATTTTATTTAGGAAAAGAAATAGATTAATACAGTATATTCAAGTGACCCAAGGGCTGACATGTGAGTTATATTACCGTACTAATAGGAAATTCCCAGTCAGGCAGGGAGAAGGGATCAAACAGTGAACTAGCCTTGAGTCCTTGTGTAGCCACAAGAGGCACAAGTCTGTGTCCTCCCCCCCCCGTGTTCCATGGAACCTTATCTAGTTGTTCCCACTTGGGAAGGGAAGCAGTCTGGGGAGAATCTTGTAATATAAACAGAATACAATAAAGTTGTTGACTTGGACTTTTCATGAGTGGATTTGCTTTCCTGTGTCTGACATGTGTAATATCAAATGTTTATACCTTATTCTTCCATCCTTGTATGTTTTATCAATTGCAAGTTGGCTGTTACAGTGGAATATGCAACGGAGAAATTAAATAACACACAGCTGAATTCAAAACACTGAAGGGAAGTAAGTTCCTCTACAGGCAAGGAAGAAATATTAAGTCTAATATTAAGTCTTCTATCAAAAAACAGGTTAGACTCATCTCTAATGACCTTGAATGGGAACATGAGACCTCTGGAAATTAAACTGTTCCCGTTCCCCTAACCGCTTAAAGAAAGTTAGTATTTTTCAGACAAACTTTGGATATTTTTCAGTAATGGACATAGCTCTGGGGTATTCATTTTGGATCAGCAAAGATAATAAGAATGTTTAGAGTAGACCTATAAATGATTTATTTTCTGATGTTGTAAGATTAGAAACATAGAACCAATAAGAAAAGAAAGGCAAGCAGAGAAACTGGAAGCTCATTCTCTCCCTGTCCCAAAGAACATTTAAACATTTCTTAAAAGTACAAGATTAGTGAAACAAGACTATTTTACACACAGAATATTTCTTAACCACTAGGATTCAGGATTTGGAATAGAGGAAAATTACTTTTTAAAATCCATGTCTCATATTTAAGTTCAATATTCTGTACATGTACACAGGATCACATTTATAATAATGTTACTTTGAAAAGGGCATGGACAATGAGAAAAGAAGCATGACAGAATGGAGATGGGAAATATAAAAAAAATTGTTTGGTCCTTCTTTTCCCACATACATATTTCTTCTTTTAGAAATAAGAATTACTAATACATTTATACACTAGGCCACAGGTCGGCAACCTGCGGCTCTGGAGCCACATGTGGCTCTGTGAGCCTTCCCCTGCAGATCCCAGCCTCTTCTGACCCTCTGTCCCCCCCCCCTCTCTCTGTGTGTGTGTGTGTGTAAAAAAAAGAGAATGGACTCACAGTGTTCTCCTATGATAGACATGTCAAACACAAGGCCCAGGGGCCAGATGCAGCCCGCAAAGTAGTTTCATGTGGCCCACGACGCCATCCTGGAAACAGTGAGGGAATGGCCCCTGCTGCCTTGGCCCTGGCCCAGGCCGGCCGGGAACCAAGGTACAATTTTGTGGTGGGCATCTATGCTGAAACGCATTCAGTCTTAGCTCCATAAGGCCGTCTAGAAACAGCGAGGAACCAACCCCTGCCGTGTCGGCCCCGCCCCCTGGGTGCATGCTGGGGAGGTGTCACCCTTTGTGAGCAATGAAGAAATGGACCATGCCTTGGCGCTTGCCCCAGTCCCACCTCCTTCTGCCAGAGACCCTCAGATGTGTCCCATTCCTGCCCAGACCCCCACAGGCACCCTTGACGCGAATGATGTAGAGCTGACCACGCCCACCCAGTAGGCCACACCCACTCCATCCACACCCAACCAGTAGGCTGCACCCACCTTGCCCCCCCACCCCCCAAGGGCAACCGCAATGCTGATGCGGCCCTCAACGAAATTGAGTTTGACACCCCTGTCCTACGAGCTGAAAAGCTTACTGGGTGGGGCTCCTGCCTTGGCTGCGTCTCTGCAGGAAGCAGGAAGGGCAGGGAGCTAGCTAACCCAGCTATGCTGGCTCAGGAATTCTGGGAGTTGAAGTCCATGAGTCATAAAAGAGCTGAGGTTGCCTATCCCTGAGCTTGTTGGAGAACACCTTGAAGCCAGCTCGCCAGGTGAGCAGAAGATCGGAGAAAGGGAGAGGGGGGGAGAGAGAGAGGGAGAGAAAGAGAGAGGGAAAGAAAAGGAGAGAAAGAGAAAGAAAGAGAGAGAGAGGGAGGGAGGGAGGGAGGGAGAGAGAGAGAGAGAGAGAGAGAGAGAAAGAGAGTGGGGGAAGAGGACTGGCAGACCAAGGGCAGAAAGAGAGGGAGGGAAGGAGAGAGAGAGAGAGAGACACTTTTGACATCTAAAATGAAGATAACACTGCATATACCCTTTTTTACCTTTACGATATATATTGGTAAAAAAGGATATATGCAGTGTTACCTTTATTTTAGATATCAAAGGGTTTTGTGGCTCCCAGTGTTTTGTTTTCGGTGGGAAATGGGTCCAAGTGGCTCTTTGAGTGTTTTGGGTTGCCTACCCCTGCACTAGGCAATAGAGTTCAATGGCAGTGTCTCTAAAGCATGTATAGTGATTTCATTAATAGATCATAGAAACAGTAATAGAAGAACCTGAATATATCATAGAAATAGGAGGACCTGAAGGACATTCAGAATTCTGCATTTTTACAACCCAAGTAAGAGAGACTATCTGTACCACAGGTTCCCTCACTGTTTAGCTGTCTCTATGTCATTCCTGAGCATCTTTTTTATGTATATTAATCCCTGACAGAATCATACCCATGGGCTATTCTTTCCCAGGAAAACAATGCAACTCTGAGTGTGGAAAGGGAATGAGAAATAAAAAGGAATTAAATATATGAGATAGCTAACAACAAAGGAGGATGATCTCTGAAAGCAGTGATGTAATTAATGTAGATAATGGTTCTGCAGGGTTCAGGCAGTTCAGTCAATCAAATAAAATTGATAGATAAAATAGAAGATGGTTACTAAGTGACCGTTATAGGAACATGACTTTATATGGCTGCATCAGCATAGTATATTCTTCAACTGTTCAACTCCTGCAAGGTTTTAAAATTATCAGCAAAAGCAAAATCTTCTTCAACCAGGCACCATCAAAATTTGTCAGAACTGCAACCCCAGAATTCTCAAGGGCTCATGCTGGCTGGAGAACCTGGAAATTGCAGTCCCTTTGGACAACCCAGATTGGCGAAGGTAGGCAGAGGAAATGATTTGATAAGAACATTTTGCTCTTTTTCCTGCAGATACAGAAGGTTTCTGGATAGAGATGAGCTAAAACACAGGATCTTTTATACTGGGAGACCAGAAAAGGAAATGGCAGTTGGATATTTTTGGAATAAAAAAAAATTAAGTCTGATAGAAATGCATTCAAAATATTTGTGAAACAAATAGTGGTACTATGGCATGCTTTAGTTTGTATGAATTAACAAAACTGAGTTTTATTTCTGAAATGGAGTAGATATTTAAAACATAGGTCTATTTAATAGCTTTATAACTCTTACATTTATTCTGCACATTGATAATTCTGGTAATTATTGAGGTATAGTTTTTAAATCAAAACACTTACCAATTGCCTTTGTGTAGTGCCTTGCCCCAAGTAACAATTCTGGAGCTCTGTACCAAAATGTCACCACAACTGGGTCAAGGTCTGCCAGCGGCTTAAGAGGAGAATTGAATAGCCTTGCAAAACCCATATCAGCTGCAAAATAACCAGTATCTGTATTACACCAAACAAAATTTTTCTAAAGTAAATTCTTCTATACTGCTATTCTTGATATTATCAATGCCTCACTGATCTCAAAGCTAGGTGAAGTACACAATCTTACATTGCTGACATCTAGAACTTTCCTATAGGACCTGTTTGAGGATATTAGCTAGTTTATTCCCCCCCCCCTTTTTTTGGCTTACTCCACATCCCAAACAATGTATTTGCATGTACAATATGCTAACATTGCTGATAATCCTGAACATATTACTCAAAATTTTAAATTATAAATGCATTTCATCCGTGTTAGGAGCTACAAACATTCCCTATTGCCACTCCCTTAACATCATAAACTGAGTATGAGTACTTTTGAACATGTGTGTTGACTTGAACAACACCATTATTTACTATATTATATCAAATATGTCATAATTTAGCCAAAAAAAATATTCTGGGTAGCTATTAGAAATATAACTGATTTGTGCAAGTCCAAATACTTCATCATTATTAAAACAAATTTATATTCTTGTTCAGATTAATAGACTTGATATAAAACTTATACAGTCAAAGATTTTAATATCTAGCATAAAATACATAAAAGGCAGATATTCATGACAGTCAGGACCAAAAATATGCTTCATGGCGTGCAGAGCACAAATGAAGCACCTACAGGGCATTCAGAAAGTATTCAGAACCCCTTCACTTTTGCTAACTTTGTTATGCTGCAGCCTGATTCTATATTTGCTGACATTTCTTTCTTTCTCATTAATCTACACTCAGTACCCCATAACGACAAAGTGAAAAGAGAATGTTAGAAATGTCTGTACATTTATTAGGTGAGACTGATAAATTCTATAAGTAATACAACTGTTGGTTACTAAAAGCTCTGGAGCTTTATAGATAAAAAAAACAGTACCATGAAATGATCTGAGCAACACACTGGAAACCAATATAATCAAAATATGAGTAGTTTTGTACAATTTAATAAGCATCTGTCAAAAAAAAACCTGGCTTTTCTATTTTACACTAAATGAGTTATCTGAACAATTTACAAAAGCAGTTTTGAATAAAGCAAGGTAAATGAGATGTACTGGTAAGGACTGATGTAAGCAGGTGTTAAGCATAAATTACAGTTTACACCTTGGTTTGCATGGCTTTTAGGCTTCAAAATGGCAACATTTGGATAGAAGGGACTTTAAAAGCATTTATGTTCTATACTAAACACAAGTGAATTGTGTCTCAACCTAGGTCAGTGGTTCTCAACCTTTCTAATGCCGTGACCCCATTATACAGTTCCCCATGTTGTGGTGACCCCCAACCACTTATACATCACCGGGTGCCAAGGGCGTGGCCAAAGAAAAGAGGGAAAAAATGGCAGACAGCCTTGTTTGGCGACCCCCGTGAAATGGTCGTTCGACCCCAAATGGGGTCCCGACCCACAGGTTGAGAACCGCTGACCTAGGTGCTACATACATCTCATTATGGAATGTAATACATTGAGATTTTGTTCACATTCACAATTCTGATTGATGACAACATTTTTGCAGGAAAAAAGTAGTGTCTGTGCCATGAAACATTTTACTAGCAATTTTGTCTTTTTTGCTACTGATATCATCAATTAAAGCATGATAAATATAAAAGTACACATTAAAAATGAAATTGGTAAAGCAGGAACAGGTTGAGTCTCAGGTCAGAGTGAACCAATTCATCAGTACTGATCTCAAAACCATGAAGCAAATGGCCAAATTTCCATTCTCCAAAAATATGGGGGAAAGGCCTTGAATTTAAATCCCAAAGACACAGAAAGAGACTTGAAGCAAAACATCTTCTGTGCAATTATGACTTCATTAAAACTAATAAAAAAGCTAATGTAGTCATGTAATGTCTATGAATTTTCACAATAAGCAAGTTAATGAATATGCAGTTCAATATCTGGAGAGTAATGATCTATTGCGGTGTCTGGAGTGAAGCCTCATGATAACTAATAATTAATCTCAAGTAAACAGCTTGTACAATTCTGCTATAAATTGCTCTGTAGAGATAGGCAAGTAACAAATTTTGAGATATGGCAGGTTTTGGTACTGATCCACAGAAAAAGTAAACTTTACCCACAGAGTTGAAATCTTCAAGCTTTTAAACGTTCAATCATAGCTGAAGAAGTATACCCAGTTTTAACTGCTCACTTTCAGTGGCTCCAAGAGTCAGAGAAACTGGTAACACCAGTCTTTAACATGCATTGTTACTACTGCTTCAGCAGAATCTACTCCTACTCATATCCTCAAAACTGGTTCATATATCCATCGCTCCAAACAATTTCCTGCTATTAATATACACAGAAGTTTCTCTTCTGTATTTTACCCGTGGCACACTTTCCATTAGATATTTCTGGGGGTTTTGGAAGAAGCCTAGAAATTTTAAAGGTAATAACAACCTATCCTAGCAACTTATTATATATTTTATAATAACTGAATAATTCTAAATGTTTGTTTTTGCACTTACTCCGTATACCAGCGCGGCACATTCTTTTTATGGTATTGTCTCTAATTAAATGAAGTACAAGTTGCTACTGTTCTCCTGAGAACACGGGACTTTCTCCCATATTATTTGACACCTTACTTACCCACCTCTTATCACATTCAGCTGGATTCTGGAGGCTCCTGAATGGATACAGGAAAGTCATTTTCCTTTCTCACATTCTCCTATAAGCTTTCCTTTAGACCAGGGGTTCTCAACCTTGGCAACTTTAAGACTTGTGGACTTCAATTCCCAGAATTCCTCAGCCAGCTTTGCTGGCTGAGGAATTCTGGGAGTTAAAGTCCACAAGTCTTAAAGTTGCCATGGTTGAGAACCCCTGCTTTAGACCCAACTATCTATACCATCTGTAAGTAAGTGTGATTGAGATGCTTTGCTTTGGATTTCTGTTTAAGTTCTATTGCAATTAAATTTATAAATATGGGTAATTATAAAACTTACCTATCTTAACTCTTCCTCTTTCAGAACCTTCTCCCATTACTAGAATATTTGCTGGTTTCTGGGAAATGAAAGCAAAATATCCATATATCTCACGTATCACGTATCACACATTAATTTAATGGTACAAGTTTACATATAAAAGGTTTATAATGCATGGTCATGCACTTTCCTGCCTTGAAATATTATTTAAAATTTTATATAATATATATTTCTTTTCAATATAGAAATAGAATTATTCTGTTTTATATGAAACTGCTTGAAACAACCATATTGTTAAACATTCTTTCAATATTGCTTAAATGAAAATAACTGTTTTAAGAGGGAAAATACATGTTTACAAATACTTCGTGTTATCTTGTTGTTGTTGTTGTTGTTAATTGCGAAGTCGTGTCCGACCCATCGCGACCCCATGGACAATGTTCCTCCAGGTCTTCCTGTCCTCTACCATCTTCTGGAGTCCATTTAAGTTCACACCTACTGCTTCAGTGACTCCATCCAGCCATCTCATTCTCTGTCGTCCCCTTCTTCTATTCCCCTCAATCTTTCCCAGCATTAGGCCCTTCTCCAGTGAGTCCTTCCTTCTCATTAGGTGGCCAAAGTATTTGAGTTTCAATTTCAGGATCTGGCCTTCTAAAGAGCAGTCAGGGTTGATCTCTTCTAGGACTGACCGGTTTGAACGCCTTGCAGTCCAAGGGACTCGCAGGAGTCTTCTCCAGCACCATAGTTCAAAGGCCTCAATTCTTTGGCGCTCAACCTTTCTTATGGTCCAACTTTCACAGCCATACATTGCAACTGGGAAAACCATGGCCTGGACTATATCTACACTACAGTAAATCTATGCAGCTAATAAATCTGACTTCAGTTTTGAAATCTCTATTGAAATTGTTACCTCTATTTTATCTCTTCATAACTACCCATGTTGGCCTCTCAGACTCCAACTTATCTGACAAAAGTTGTATTGAAATAGAAAAGGGTATCCTAGAAATGCTTAAATATCTCTCTAGTCTCTTGAATTACAGACAACACATTGTCACTCTTTGACTGACAACTGAAATATGTGATCTATGAACAGTGTTTCTCTGTCGAGGAAAGTACAGCCAGCCGTTTTTCCTTCAACTGGAAGAAATCAATTTATTTTTATTTTGGGCTTGTAGCTGATTTTGGATCCTAAAACTAACTTTAATTGCTTTGACTATAATCTGCACATTTTTCTTTATGTGGAAGACTCCCTGTCAGATTCCAAGTTGCCCATGACTCTCATTTTTTCAGTACAGGTAGTCTTTGATTTACAGCAGTTTGTTTAGTGACCATTCAGAGTTACAATGGCACTGAAAAAAGTGACTTCTGACCATTTCTCTTATTTACGACGGTTGCAGCATCCCCATGGCCACATGATCAAAATTCTGACACTTGGCAACTGACTCATATTCATGATGGCTGCAGTGTCCTGGGATCATAGGACCAGCTTTTGCAACCTTCTAACAAAAATCAATAGGGAAGCCAGATTCACTTAATAACCATGTCAGTAACCTAACAACTGCCAGTAATTCACTTAACAACTGTGCCAAGAAAGGTCATAAAAAGGTGCAAATTCACTTAACATATGTTTCACTTAGCAACACAAATTCTGGGTTCAATTGTAGTCACAAGTTGAGGACTACCTGCTAATATTCCGTATTAGCAACTTTACGATATGTGGACTTCAATTCCCCAAATTCCCTGCTCAGGGAATTTTAAATCCACACATTTTAAAGTAGCTGAGGTTGAGAAACACTGGTCTAAACCTTTGGATCTTACTTGAACAATGACCGGCTATTAAAGTCACTATGCCACTGAGAAATTCCTTTCCCAGGCAAGTTTTCCAGGGTATAAGAGCCGAGGTGGCACAGCAGTTAGAGTGCAGTACTGCAGGCCACTTTAGCTGACTGTGTTCAGCAGGTCAGCGGTTCAAATCTCACCGGCTCAAGGTTGACTCAGCCTTCCATCCTTCCGAGGTAGGTAAAATGAGGACCCAGATTGTTGGGGGCAATGTAAATATATATATACATTGCTTACTGGTGTACACCGCTTAGGGAGTGCTTGCACTTAAAGCGGTATATAAGTCTCATAAATAAATAAATAAATAAATATTATGTAATCTCTCCTTTTTCATCCCCACCCCAACTCTAATCTCTCCTTGACCAGTTTCTTCTGATTCACTTTGTAATTTGGCCTTTATCTTACCATGTAGAAATCCTCTTTTCCTGCAAAGTCTCTGATCCCATCCTTATTTCTCTCTTTCAGATACCTTTCAAAGGTATTCCACTACATAAATCAAAATTCCTAATGTTTCTTGGGCTCTACTTAGTATTTATGAAACATTCCAGTCCTGAAGGCACCAACACAACCTTAAGTTTGTCAGAACAGAGTAAGGGATACAAAGAGAAGCAAAAGATATGAAGAACTGAGCTCTTCATTGTTTAATTATCTGCTACGTTTATACGCCTCTCCAATTAAAAATGGACTCTGAGGGGCTCACGTACTTCATGCAGTAGCCAGATTAAAAATATCAAATTATAACAAAGCAACAATTACAATCAAAATGGGGGGGGAGCATCAGGAAACTCACAAATATTTCCCAACAGGAATGAACCATGCTATCTTTCAAGTCTCTCAGGCTTGCTGAAATAGCCAAATAGTAATGGCTTTATTGAATTCCCAGTATGCAGGGGGCCCTAACATTTCTTAAAGCACAGTATTTCAGAAAAGAGGGCAATGACAGAGAATGCTTCCTTGTAAATTCAATTTTGCAGGGCTTGTGCCCCAAACAAGGAGAATAGTCTGATCAATTGGTAAGACAAAACTGTTAGAGAAAACATATTTTTTTTTTGAGACCATACTTCTAAGATACTATCATTTACAGATAGTCCTTGACTTACAACCATAATTGAGCCCAAAATTTCCATTGCTAAGCAAGGCAGTTGGTAAGAGAATTTTACCCCATTTTATGACTTTTCTTGCCACAGTTGTTAAGTGAATCATTTGGCCATTAAGCGAATCTGGTTCCCCCATTGACTGTTTGTCAGAAGCCGGCTGGAAAGGCTACAAATAGTGATCATATGGTCCTGAGATAGCCCAACTGTCATAAATACACCCCAGGGGCCAAGCACCTGAATTTAGATCACGTGACCATGGGGTGTGGCAACAGTCATAAGTGTGAAAATCGGTCATAAGTCACTTTTCCCAGTGCTGTTGTAACTTTGATCATGAAATGAATGGTTATAAGTTGAGGACTACCTGTACATGCATGTTCCCAAAAGATATATAGAAAAATATACAAATAAATATAAATTTGAAGTTCCACATACATGACCTAGAAGGAATCAGATCTAGTATGACTTCTAATATTGTCTGCTCTCAGTGAAAACTTTGTTGGGAAAAAAGAAAAAAATGTTCAAATCTGGTGCATGTGCAATTCATCTGATTTTGAGTCTGAAGATTTAAATTCACTCAAAATAGTTATTCCTTTATGAAAGTCATGACTAAAATTAGGGCATATTCAGTTTTGTAGGAGAGTCCTCTATTTCTGTCCACCTAAATGTACAGAAAACAGATTTGAGGGCATTTGGATATAATAGAGAGTGAAGGAATTTATTCTGCTAGCAATAAACATTCTGCTTACTGATGGGTCTTGCTGGTTTTCACCCTTACTTAAAAGAAAATGCTAGCCCTGGAGTAAGCCATGTTAGTTGCTATAGAAACAAAGTTTTGGAATTTCATGTTTAAATTATCAGGAATAAAAATTGAACAAAGAGATTCCAACTGAGACTAAAACATAGGGTTTGACTATCCAGTAAAGATATAATGCAGAATGAACAAGATCAAAAATAAATACAATATTTGCTGTGGAAAAAATATACATGCTGCAATTTAAAACAAAATCCTGAGAGATGCAAACACTGAATTGATTACGTAATCACTCCATTCAGATTAGTAAACATTGACAATATAAACATCTCGTAGAGAAAGAAAACACAAAGGCAGTTATGACATGCTCTTGAATAAAACTCTGTTTAACATTAAAAAAAAAGAAATCAATCCATATGAACGTTGCTACTGCATCAGCTCAGTGTGATCAATTCTTTTATTAAGGAGAAGGTCAGAAGGGAGCCAGCAAAAACAAACAGAAGTAAAACTGTCTGCAGTTTTGAATGAGAGGAACAGACCCGATTAAATGATAAGAGAAACAATGGACAACAGAATGCTAGCATTTAGTAACTCTTACTGTTCTCAGGCTTATCTAGAATATAATTCTTTTTGAGATTTGACATTCCCATGAGAAAAAAAAAAATCTCATTAGCATACTGCTGTTGTCCATGCATGTTTTTATAAAAAATATGCATTGCATTGCCTTATATATTATATTATGAGACTATATTGCAAGGACTCATTATCATATATGAAAATATTTGTATGGTAAATTAACTCTGAAAAGTATAAACATTGCTGAGATTCTTGCAAAAAACTAAAACTGAAATTAGGGAAACACCCTCTCCTAAAGAGAAAATCCAATAATAAAAAAAAAAGGTTTGAAACACTCAATAGTTTGCACCAGGGTAACAGAGATCCTTGAAAATATAGATCCTGATAACATAATCTTGGCCAATGAAAATGAATAACCAATAATGGTTGTGTGGGAAGTCAGAGAAGGAAATATTAAAAGGGAAAAATATTATATTTCCTCAAAGGATCTTAAAGAGGCAGAAAAGCATATCCAATTTTTTCTTAATAGCCCCAAGTCTCCGTCCCCCAAGCAGAAACCAGCTCTGTAGAAATGTAATAATAATAATAATAATAATAATAATAATAATAATAATAATAAAAAGTTGGAAGTGACCTTGGAGGTCATCAAGTCCAACCCTCTACTCAGGAAGGTAACCCTATACCATTTTGGACAAATGACTGTTCAGTTTCTTCTTAAAAACTTCCAGTGTTGGAGCATTCACTGCTTCTGGAAGCAGGTTGTTCCACTGGTTAATTGTTCTAACTTCTCCTTAGTTCTAGGTTGCTTCTCTCCTT